CAAAAGCCGGGGTTTAGGGTTTAGGGTTCAGGGTTTAGGGTTTAAGGTTTAGGGTTTAGGGCTTCATTCAGTGTTACTAAGAAAGCCAGCATGAAAGCGCATGAGGATACTACGGGGGCGGACATGGAAGGGCTTTTGGCAAGGACTTTTACATGCTGATGCTGGCGTTCGCCGCCGTGGCCGTTCCGCGTCGCAATCGAAGTTGCCATTTCCACCGTCCTCATCACTCACCAACGTGGTCCAGCACCAGCACCACCACAACAGCAAGAACAACCAACAACAACCAGTTACGGTTATATCAACATCAGCAGCAGCAGTACGAGCAGTCGCTTCAGCACCACTATCCTGCAAATCGTTAGGGCAACTGTCCCAGAGGCACACATCCCACAGATGAAGATGAGGATGCGGACCAGGACGAGGACACATTCGCATCAGCATGAAGGTTTGTGGAACGATTAGCATTTGATGCAGATAATGGTGATGCCATGACAGTATTGATGATGTTGATGGTCTTGATCATGCTGCTGATGACGACAGCCCCCTCCAGAAGGACCTGTGACATGACATACCTTAAGAACCCAAACCCACTTTCTTGTAGGCTTTTATTATAAACCCTAATATGGGATTTATAGGGACCCTACAAAAAAGTAGGTTTTGGGTTCTTAAGGTAGAAGCACAAGCAAGCTTTTCCGCAAGTGTCAGGCTGCGCAGTGGTGTCCGCTACATGGGGAGCACCAGCTGCATCCCCCTGCGCTGCCGGGAACAAACCCAAGCAGAAATCACCGGAAATTCCTGCGTTGCCCCATTTTCCGTCAGTTGCCAGTTTTTTCCCCTCATCTCAAGTGCTTTGCGGGAAGTAGTTGTAAGCCACCTGGGTTCCAGAAGCCCAGGTGGACTCACCTGCAAGGATGAAACGGTGTTTAGGGTTTAGGGTTTAGGGGTTTCGGGTTTTAGGGGTTTTAGGGTTTTTGGTGTAGGGGTTTAGGGGTTTAGGGTTTAGGGAGCGAGATAGGCTTAGGGTTTTGCTGCGAAGATCCCACCCCTCTTGTTGATGATCTTGAGGTTGCCGCTCGCTTCCAGCAGGAGCGTATTCACTCCTGCTTCGGCCTGAGGGACGAAACCCTAAACCCTAAACC